TGACCTTTGCATAGTTATTGTTAAAATATTTATATTTCGTACGGAATAAACTCCTGTTTTCTCCAGTATTAAGCTACACCCTCCTGCATACTGTAGCGAACAATGTATTTTCTATGAACATGTAATTATAAACATTTTTATGCATTTTGTATTAAAGTAAATTTCATGTATTAGCTGCAAATTAAACAGCACATAAATTTTGCATTTCTTGTAGTCTAAGTTAAAACAGAAATTACTTTATTAAAATAGGCTTTATTTTTAAACATTTCCGAAAACTTTAAATATAGTTTGAAAATGATTCCCAAATTTCAGATATGAAACAATTCATGTAACTTTCTTCATCTTGTTATTGTAATTGACAATTTAAAATTTACATCACAAACAAGATTCAATTCTTTTATACTGAAAATTATTATTAAAGTGTACACTGTACATGAAATTTTGAAAATGCAACAAACTACACAAAAAATAATGAGTAAAATAAAAAACAACAGTTACTAGCAAATATGTTTCAATTAAAGAGTTAGAGACCAACATTTGCAACATGTCTCTGCAATATAAGCCCAACATTGCCAATTTTGAAACCAGAAAAACACAGAAAAATCAAAAACTTCTATATCACTTGCTTGCAATCTGCAAGAAGGTATCTTTGTACCAAATCCCATGTAAGTTGGTTGACATACACATGTAAGTTGGTTGACATACACATGTAAGTTGGTTGACATACACATGTAAGTTGGTTGACATACCCATGAATAGTTCATGAATATCCCAAATTGTGATTTCTTCACTGAAAAAACTGAGCAAAAGACAAAAATTTGAAAACTGTCTATCTGTTCATTTTTCTTTATACTAAATCCCACATGAATTGGTCAAAATATTGCTAAGTAATTACCCAAAACCCCTAAAATTATAGGTTTATTTAACCTCCCCCCCCCCCCACCCACACCCTAAAATGACCAAAAATGTGCATATCCCACATTTGTATATGTACATGTAAGGGAACTGACAAAAAGTATCTTTGTAATAAACCCCATGCAAACTAGCCAAAGTTAGTTAACATTTTTCTAAATGTAAAATGTATTTCTGATAGCTACCTCTGTTCACAAAAAGTTTTCTTGACTTGTACTGCCCTCTATTGATGCAAATTTTTACTGCCACCTGCCTTGTTACTCCCATTTCTTACTGCATACTAACATGCAAATGATCATGCAGCAACCCTCCATGAATAGGAGTGTGACAATACCCCTATCATAACTAGTGCCCTCTCTAATCATGCACATGTTAATCACTTCGAGATTGGTCATAACTAACCAAACCAATTCACACCAGAAGTGGGGAAGACAGGTAGGAAATGTGAAGGGAGGTAAGTATGTAACACAAATAGATTTTTAGTTTTGGAAAATGTTAACTTCCAATACAATATCTTACCTCCTCTCACAAATTTAAATGGTAGAGGGCCAGTGAGAAGATACACCCCCCTTTAGGAAAAACCCAAAGGAAGACAATGAGGTGTGATAAAGAATTAACAACAATGCACCAGTGGGAGACGGCACCACTTATAAGCCAGGTAATGTGTAAAGGGTGGGAATATGGAGGGGTTCCAAAAAAAAAAATAATAATAATAATAATGGTGTAGAGTAGCTAGGGCACAACAGACTGTAAATGGGAGTTCTACCTCAACCAACACCTGGAATTGTACATCATGTCCATGGTAGGAAGAGGGTCCTCTACCTTTCAATTCAGAACCCATCTTAGCATGTACACACTTCCAACACAACCAACGGTAACTGATATCCAGCAGATGGTGGGAAGGAGGAGGAGAGCCCAGGTGGGTGTTCATCTCTCGATCGACACTTGGCAGCATTGAAAATTTGGTCGTCCAGTGGGTATATGAGGAGGGTACCCAGCCTTTTACAAGTGTCTCGTCCAGCTACAACTAACACCAGAACCACCGAGAACTGACATCCAACAGACAATGGAAAGAAGGACTGTATTTTTGGGGTTGTATCTAAAGTCCAAATCCTGGCAGCATTGGGAATTTATGAGGAAGGAAGAATGTCTCAGCCAGATGGCAAACTGCATTTTTTTTGTTATTTTTCTTTTATACATATGGCAGTGTGTTATATCCAACTAATTAGTATTTGTGCCATACAAGTTTTAACTTACTTGGTGAACATGTAGTTCAAGTTACCCTATCATATTACATAATACACAAGATACTTGCACGTAATTGCACAAGCATACCTCATAAAAATGTTTTATCATTATTATTATTCTCTATTTTACCTAATCTAACATAAAAAAGTTATAATTTTTATACTTCAGCTACTTTTATAATAATAATGAAAGAATACACATGAAAAACAAAAATAAAAGTACTTATTTGGTTCACCATATTATTTTTTTTTTTATCAATGACACTTAACCCTACTTTTTTTTATACTAATGGTACTACTGCACTACATAATTTTTTTTTATACAACAAAGAACAGAGAATAACAACATGAAAAAGTAGACAATGTCCCATAACTCACAATTTTTCTGGCCTTCTAACTATGCAATAAGAGTTGTTAAAAATTCATTTAAGCTCCTCAATATGGGAATAAAGTTTGAACTGGAAGCAGAAAAATCCTAATTTGATAGATTAAAACCTTGACTCTCTATTGGTTAGAAATAATATAGTATTAAACTTCAGAGAGGACTATTGGCAATTTCTGAAAGAGAAAATGTGACTGGTGAGTGTGGCAAGAGGGGTCTGATTTTCTATTTGATGACTCTGTAACTAAATAAGATTAAAGGCTATAAAAAATTATGCTTTGCCTGAGTAATGACAACATTATAATAAGTAATTTAAATTAAATTTCATACTTCTTAGAGGGGGTGTTATATAAATTAAAGAAGTAATACTTAGAGAAAATGTCACAATTTCAATACTAGGGGAAATTCGGGATTTTTTTATAATATTACCTTATAAAATTAAGAATTTAATACATATACTATTAAAATTTAGGCTATTAGCTACATTTTTATGCCAAATTTCTTCTATACCATCATAAAAAGTAGTTTAAATAAATTTTGAATGTAACTCACTAAAACCTCGTCACATGCACAGAAAATGATTCTTGTAGCAAAATGTTAATGAATGTTTACTACATAGATATTTCTTTTCTGGCTTCTAATTATGATAGGATTAGGTGTTTAATGTCTTGTTGCCTTAACATTTGAGATAACTGACTTTTCTGTTTTATAATGGTCAATAATCCAATTTTCTGAAGCATAATTTACAGTTGTTTTAAGGTAAAATTCTTGTGAAATTGGCCAAGCATCAATCTATATTTCTAGCCAAAATAATACTGCTTAAAAAATGCTATTTTTAACTTTTAAAATATTAAATATCCACAATTAATTATAAAATCTAAGGGTCATCAAAGTACATAACCTGATAACCAATTTCGTTGAAACTTAAAACAGGAATATGTCCCTTTTTAAGGTCAAGGAATAAATCAGTTGAATAATTGCTGCCTACCTTCTAAATCTATTTTATAACAGAGTATCTCATGAAAAGAACGAATTATAAAGTCACCAATTGCATGCCATTTTACATACCATTCACTTAAAGATTTTTCACTATGATTTAGATTTCTAGATGGAAAATTATTTAGCAAAATTTCAATCTTTACAACAGTAAATTACTATTAGTTAATATTATGAATGCTGCTTTCAGTGATCTGCTGAAAGATTTAATACAGGTATTATTTAACCCTTTCTATGAGAGTCACGGTTGAAAGGCCATGTCATCCAATTTGTTGACTCGCATTCAAAATTTAATTGAACTACTATTTTATGAATTTATGTCAATAAC